TGGGGAGGAGATGCATGGTGGTTACTTTAAATCCAGTGACGTAATTCGTCTGACTGAATATCAGTGGAAATATCATAATAATAATATACAACATTTGATAAAGTGGGCATCTTGCCAACATAATCCACTCTAAAGAGCTTTACAGTACATAGATATACAATTAATACAATAAGGATATATAATTTTTGAGGAATTCGCAGGAGCTGCCTTATCAGGCGCTAACTACTAGTCCTATGCCACCTGGCTAATATCTCCCTATGTGTGTTCATATTTCCCCCGTATGTTTTTATTTATTTATTTCGATGGGTATGCCACTTAGTCAAATACCAACCTGAAAAATGGAATCGATACTGAAAATATATATCTCCTAACGAAAGTTTACTCAGTTGATAATGACATGTCCTGAAGCCAAACGCCCAGTGTGGTCAGTTTCATCTTTTGGGAAAGGCGGTGATAAAAATAGCTACGACCGAAATAGCGCAATATCCGGGCCTTTCAGTGAGAATTAAACATGTAACACGCTGTCGACTAACAACACATTGTCAATAACGAGTCTGAGTTCACACAAAACACATTCTTGAATTTGAACATTACATCGCAAGTAACAATCATAAGTATCATAATATATACCTCTAATCAGATATTTCTGTTCACATTTGGATTTGAATAAAAACGAACAGGTTCATTTAGATCATGCACGCACTGAGAGGGTGCAGCGGTGAGAATTTCAAACCGCAGAAAGTATTATACATCAATATCAATATGTTTGAACGTAAAATAGATCACATACATGTATGTACTTGTATTCCAGAGAGGCTAGGTGAATGAAGCAAGGATTTACCTTCTCTCCTCGACTGGAAAGACAATTTCGTTAGCTAGAAATTCACCGACAGCTGTTGCTAAAACGTACAGCTGTATAGTTAAGGATTTCCACACTACTGATTAAAAACTCAATCAAAACATTGCCTCTAGTCAATTTCTCGACATGAATTGTTCATAAGGAGTTTCAAACTACATTACATGTATGATAAAGAATGTTGTGACTATAGGTTATAAAAAAAACTTACTTTACTAAATTGACCCTTTAAAGTTCCGTGCCGATCCTAACTCTTGATAGGAAGTTAACCCTATACAATCAAACTCAACCATAAACCACTCCCACTGAAAACAAATCACTCAAGAAACCCACTTCAGTTTTCAGTCCCCCCCCCCCCCCCCCCCCCATTTTATTTCGCCTGACGCTTCTTAGAAAGAAACATTCATCACATATTTTACACAAACATTCTCCGAAAGCTTTTTGAATTATTCAGAATAAGAAATTTCATTCAAAATAAGGCTTTCAATTTCGGTGTTAGAGTGTTTCAAAATCGCTTTTTGTAACGATAAAGCTATATAGGAGTCAGTGAACTGCTCTTCCTAGGCCAGGTTATAGCCGGAGCAAGAACGTAAAGCCCGATCAATCAATCTATCTAATCAATAAACCAATCACCCTAGCTGATGAACTTAATTGCTTTGGAAGCTCAGCTCGAGCGATAGCATCTGAATCGGAGGGTTTGAATCCACGTCTGGACTCGCTTCATTCTTACCCTCAGAACACCGTTGTTGATTGTTTATTTCATCTCGTTTACCTCTTTACGTACGTAGATGTTCTGGGAGGTGCGGTTTCTTTTCAGTAATGACTTATCAATTCTATATTCATGTCAGGAAAACAGTTCTTAATACTTAGATCCTTAAGAGCATGTGTCCCCTTTACTATCACGTACATGTATCATTACATCTGATACACGGAGTTTCTTAATTCCTCATACATCGCTTTCAAGTTCACTACTTAATTCATTTCCTTTAGCCGATGGACCCGGAACTTTTTGTAAACTGCATGCTGATGCAATGATTGAAACGTTTTCCGCTTTAAAACTCACATCCTGTTAATAAACAATACCAATAAACAGAACAACAACGAATAATCAATGACGTCATTTCCGGACACGTACAGATTGTCACGAGATGAAAACTAAAAAATGTAGGCGAAGTCCTTGTATCAGCTTGACAAATAACGGAGATGTAAAGTGTAACGTTCGATGTATCATGCATCATGCAGATCATTTACTAAGTGTATTAAAACGTGGATTAAAACATTGGTTCCATACGAAAACCATGAATCATGTCGAAAGTCTCATAATATCATTTCTGTCCCTGCTATTCGATGCTCGGTAAAAATGACACCCTCAATGATCATATATACGAGTCTGTATGATCATTGGGGTGTTATTTTTACCGAAAGTCTATAATATAAACTTTATTTATTTTACAACAATTATGAAACAAGTGTTTACAACTTATACTCATCACTCTTTTTGGCCCGGATATTAGCGCGGGGGGGGGTCTTACTGTGGGAGATAACCGGAGTACTCGGAGAAAACCCACGAGGTCGGGCAGATGACCCGATACCTTTCCAAATATCGGGGAATCGAACCCCGGCCGCCTTGGTGAAAGGCAAGTGCGCTATTCTCTGCGCCACCCGACCACCCTATCTAGACCCCTAAACACCTTAGTTTAGGTCCAAATATAGCTGTAACAAATTATCAGGTCCCTGTGAGTCCAACGACAGGTTAAATGGTACTTGGGGATTACCCCCACCGTTCTATAAACCATTACTTATTTTTACATTTTATTGCTGCTCTACTCATAGATTTAACAATATATATACTTAATAGAGTTTTTATATGAGAATAAAACACCGCAACGTATTTATCAACAATCCAGGGGAGACGGAATGTATCAAAGAAAGATGTGCTCACTCAGCTGAAACATACGCTTGAGGCAAGGCCTGTGACAAATCGAGTATACCCTAGAAACTGAAAGGCATAAACGGGACTTCACTATACCGGTACACGAGGGTTTTTTAACAATAAATAAGAACTATTTTTAGATTCAATGCTGATCATTGTCATGAAATTCACTTTAAACTGTTTGTGCAACTCAGTCATCAGAAGAACACATTTTCTCAAAACATTGAGCGTACTGTATAAAACAGAAGTCTCTCAGACAGATAAAATCCACAGAACGTGAACGTGAACGTCTCATCGTTAATTATGACGCTTCACAGGTTATATATTTCTTAACTGACTGTGCATATTCCGTCTTTTCGTATTGCAGAGTTGTCTGCTCTTGTGAGCAGGTCTTGATTGTTACGTCATCAGTTTGTGTGAGAAAATTACGTCGTTTTCTCAAAAAATGATGACGTTACTCTCACAAACAAGTGACGTAACGATCAATACCTGCTATCAGGAGCAGATAACACTGCAATACGAAAAGACGGAATATCCTACTTAAAACTTTATCCAGTATTAATGTTCAGAGCTGCCAGCTTTTGCCTTTTCTTGTGTTACACTGTATTATTTCAAATAAACACGAAACATTATATTGACGGATTGTATAATTGTAGTTGACGAGTTGTAACTTAGACAGAGCAGCGTTTCGGGTTAGACAGGGGAAGACTCTAATAGTCACCAAATTTGCACTGAATTGTCTCCCGAATTGCTTGTTCGAGATTAATTGAATCTTCCCCTACCTTGAGGGTGTGACTGAGAAATCTCCAACCCGAGGGTCGATGTCTTTTTGTTGTCTAATCCAACTCTGTCGAGGGTCGTATCATACTGATATTTTACATTTTTTATAACTCACGTAAAAATACATAAACTTTTGTATTGCAATGAATGGATCTTTTTACTATTTGGAATATTTCTGTAAATCATTTTAGACACAAAATCCCCAAATTAAATAACCATATACTTAGCCATTTTAATTGAGCTCTAAAACAGTTTGACAAACAAGATTTACGTTTTCCACATTTAGATTATTTGTTCGGTTCGGCGACTCTGTTAGATTCTCATAATCCCTTTTGTCATTTCAATTAAGAAATCAGGTCCGGGGTCCCGACTCTATCTTCTACTCTTTGTGAAAGAATTACCGGCCGTGTTACAGTCAATTCGGACTCGGGTGCTCTTACGTAACCTTCCTGCCAGATTCGTGTTTTCCACAAATTTCTTTGTCCGAACCATGACCAATCAGCAATAAGGTCCGACTGGACATATGTTTTTGTTGAGACCCCTCAAAGGTAAATAACCTGTACTGCATTACATTGTATAGAAAATACTGTAAATAACCCTCCTGGAACCTCACCAACATTGGGGGCACCTGTGTAAGTTACCTGTCGCTTGTCCAGCTGGTCACTTGAAGATGCGACCAGAATAAAGCACATCAAATGTATCAGGCTGTCTTCATTGTGATTTTACAGGTACTAAAAACAAAACAACACAGCAACACAACAAAAACATTGTAATAGTTAGACAACCAAAAATATCACCCGAGTGTTGAAGATTTCTCTGTTACACCCTTAAGGTTAGGGGATGGTTATTTTTCTCCCATCCTATTATTGCAGTCGCAACTCCACCGACAGTTGTGTAAACAAAAACACATGTGGGGTATGAGTATCGTCATTCACTTTTGATGACGTAACAATTACCGGTAACACATTTTAGTGACGTCTCAATTGAACACGTGCTAATCGGCACGAGGCTATCTCCCCCTATGGGGTGACAAGCTGATCTTTCCCGGCTCAAACGGGAGACACACATGTGAAGGATGGGATAATTCTCTGTCACCTAGGCCTCTCGCGTACGATTTTTCTGTCACACATTTGCTATGATTTTTTTGTCATCCGTAGTGTATTACAGACAAAACGCAGAAAGAAATAACACGATGACGTAAGGTGGAGAATAATTCTGACGTCACAAACAATTTTCGACGGGAGAAGTCAATTGCAGATCAAACAAGTCACATAAAAAAATCCGGCCCTCGGGATCATAATTTGGTTGTCTAACCCTCGGCTAATCCCCTGGTAAGACAACCAAAAATTCACCCCTCGGGCTTTTGACATTTTTCTGTGACACCTCATGGTACGTTATGATTATATGCTTCCGTTTTGTTATCCATTTCAGGGCTAATTTGGACAAATGGCGAGATGTGGCAAAGACTTAGGGACATAATGACCAATACACAGAACTCTCCGGACAGCGGTCAACATACCGAGAAACAAATCATGACCGAAATTCATCACACTGTCAAGCTATTACACACAGGAAGTGACCTCGGTGAAACCGGAATTGACCCCAGCAGTCTTTTTAGCGCTTCCACATTTAATATTCTGTCTTCCTTTGTATTTGGTCAGCGGTAAGTTAAGGCTATACTTGATTAAAACATTGAGATCCACGTACATTCCATCATATCTCTCAAAATCCGCGTCTATCAGAAGCATGTGGCACTGGATTATCTACCTTAATTAGTACCATTGCTCCCCGCTAAGCGGCGCTCCATGATACTTATATTTTTGAATGGAAGTCTGGACCCGTATTCATGAAATCGGTCTGATGCTCAAGCATTAATTATGTGCTTAAACCACAACTGAACTTTCTTTTAACTAGCCTAAACCAAAGTTCTTTTCGAAAATAAAATTTGGCTTAAGTAAAAACTCTCTTCAAAGTTCTTCTGAAACATTACAAAACGTTATTATTTATCAACTTATATTTACATTTGCTCTGTATTGCCACTACATAACACTACCACGGCCAGTTCTGTGTTAGGAGACCATAACACAGGCGTAGTGATATCTCCACGTGTCCGACTAACTACCGGATCGCTATTCCCCTCCGCACTAGCAAGCGGAAAAGCAAAAAAACTCGCTATGAATCAATAATATTCACCGTTTTATGTAAGACGATTTTAAAACGTGAATTGAATATATTGATTGATTAAATTATGGAAATAGTATCGATATTTTCGTGTTCATTTCAACGAACTTTATTTTTTTTAAGGGAATAGTCGCGAGAAAATATTCCGAAAGCAATTCCATGGTCTGTTCTACCTCTTGAACAAACACTGCGAATTTCGAATTTAAAAGTGCGTTGTAAATGAAAATTTATAGAAAAAAATATGTAAATATAAGCCTAAATCAACATTCTGTTCCGTGTTACATGTATAGTCCTATAACACGGAACAGAATGCAGTTTAATACTTAAAAATCTGAAACACAGAATCTGTGTTTGAGCAGGAGAACGAAAGGGGTCCGGTGAATTGAAAAGGCATGGCCTGAACATTCATGTGTGTAAAGATAGTTGCGTAATTATGTATTCTTATTTTCTAACGCTTAACCTAACTNGGGGGGGGGGGGGGGGGGGGGGGGGGGATAACATATACTACAGGTGACTGTTATTGTATTCTGAAGAACCTAGGTGACGATATTAAAATATCACAGATGGGTGATCGGTAACTGATTGGTTTCCTTATCTGATTGACAGGTTCGAGATGACAGAAACAGACTACAGTCTACTCAAGGATGGTATTGCTGATCTAACAGAGAGGAACAAAACCCAGAACCCAGTCAACATGTTTCCAAGTCTGGGTGCCTGTATGACGCGAAAGGTAGGTGTGTTTGTGTATGATGATAGGAAAGGTACAGTCTCCGTGTGTATGATGTACATGTATGACGACAGGACATGTATTGTCTGTGTGTGTATAATGACAGGAAAGGTATGATCTGAGTGTGTATGATGACAGGACATGTATGGTCTGTGTGTGTATGATGACAGGAAAGGTATAGTCTGTGTGTGTATGATGACAGGAAATGTATTGTCTGTGTGTGTATGATGGCAGGAAATGTATTGTCTGTGTGTGTATGCTGACAGGAAAGGTACGGTATGTGTGTGTATGATGACAAGAAAGGTATGGTCTGTGTGTGTACGATGACAAGAAAGGTATGGTCTGTGTGTGTATGACGACAGAAAAGGTATGGTCTCTGTGTGTATGATGACAGGAAATGTATGGTCTATGTGTGTATGATGACATGAAAGGTATGGTCTGTGTGTGTATGATGACAAGAAAGGTATGGTCTGTGTGTGTATGACGACAGGAAAGGTATGGTCTGTGTGTGTATGCTAACATGAATGGTACGATCTATGTATGTATGACGACAGGAAAGGTACGGTCTGTGTGTGTATGATGACAGGAAAGGTATGGTCTGTGTGTGTATGATGACAGGAAAGGTATGGTCTGTGTGTGTATGATGCCATAAAAGGTATGGTCTGTGTGTGTATGATGACAGGACATGAATGGTCTCTGTGTGTATGATGACATGAAATGTATGGTCTGTGTGTGTATGATGACAAGAAAGGTACGGTCTGTGTGTGTATGATGACAGGAAATGTATGGTCTCTGTGTGTATGATGACAGGAAATGTATGGTCTGTGTGTGTATGATGACAAGAAAGGTACGGTCTGTGTGTGTAGGATGACAGGAAATGTATGGTCTGTGTGTGTATGTTGACAGGAAATGTATGGTCTGTGTGTGTATGACGACATGAAAGGTATGGTCTGTGTGTGTATGACAACAGGAAAGGTATGGTCTGTGTGTGTATGCTAACATGAAAGGTACGATCTATGTATGTATGACGACAGGAAAGGTACGGTCTGTGTGTGTATGATGACAGGAAAGGTACGGTCTGTGTGTGTATGATGACAGGAAAGGTATGGTCTGTGTGTGTATGATGACAGGAGAGGTATGGTGTGTGTGTGTGTGTATGACGACAGGAAAGGTATGGTCTGAGTGTGTATGATGACATGAAAGGTATGGTCTGTGTGTGTATGATGACAGGAAAGCTTTGGTCTGTATGTGTATGATGACAGGAAAGGTAGGCTCTGTGTGTGACATTGCATGTATGGTCTGTGTGTGTATGATGACAGGAAAGGTATAATTTGTGAATATATGGTCTGTGTGTGTATGATGACAGGAAAGTTACGGTCTGTGTGTGTATGATGACAGGAAAGGTATGCTTTGTGTGTGTGTGTGATGACATGGAAGGTATGATCTGTGTGTGTTTGTGATGACATGAAAGGTATGGTCTGTGTGTGTATGATGACAGGAAAGGTTTGGTCTGTGGTTGTATGATGACATGAAAGGTATGGTCTGTGTGTGTATGATGACAGGAAAGGTATGCTGTGTGTGTGACATTGAATTTATGGTCTGTGTGTGTATGACGACAGGAAAGGTATGGTCTGTGTGTGTATGATGACAAGAAAGGTACGGTCTGTGTGTGTATGATGACAGGAAAGGTATAATTTGTGAATATATGGTCTGTGTGTGTATGATGACAGGAAAGGTATAATCTGTGGTTGTATTATGCTGACAGGAAAGGTACGGTGTATGACGACAGGATAGGTATGGTCTGTGTGTGTATGCTAACATGAAAGGTACGATCTATGTATGTATGACGACAGGAAAGGGACGGTCTGTGTGTGTATGATGACAGGAAAGGTATAATTTGTGAATATATGGTCTGTGTGTGTATGATGACAGGAAAGCTTTGGTCTGTGTGTGTATGATGACAGGAAAGGTTTGGTCTGTGGTTGTATGATGACATGAAAGGTATGATCTGTGTGTGTATGTTGACAGGAAAGGTATAATCTGTGGTTGTATGCTGACATGAAAGGTATGGTCCGTGTGTGTATGATGACTGGAAAGGTATAATCTGTGGTTGTATTATGCTGACAGGAAAGGTACGGTCTGTGTGTGTATGATGATAGGAAAGGTATGGTCTGTGTGTGTATGATGACAGGAAAGGTATGGTGTGTGTGTGTGTGTATGACGACAGGAAAGGTATGGTATGAGTGTTTATGATGACATGAAAGGTATGGTCTGTGTGTGTATGATGACAGGAAAGGTATGGTCTGTGTGTGTATGACGACAGGAAAGGTATGGTCTGTGGGTGTATGATGACAGGAAAGGTATAATCTGTAGTTGTATGCTGACATGAAAGGTATGGTCTGTGGGTGTATGATGACAGGAAAGGTATGGTGTGTGTGTGTATGACGACAGGAAAGGTATGGTCTGTGGGTGTATGATGACAGGAAAGGTATAATGTGTGTGTGTATGACGACAGAAAAGGTATGGTGTGTATGATGACAGGAAAGCTTTGGTCTGTATGTGTATGATGACAGGAAAGGTATAACCTCCCGTTGTATGCTGACATGAAAGGTATGGTCTGTGTGTGTATGATGACAGGAAAGGTATGTTGTGTGTGTGACATTGAATGTATGGTCTGTGTGTGTATGACGACAGGAAAGGTATGGTCTGTGTGTGTATGATGACAGAAATTGTATGGTCTGTGTGTGTATTTTGACAGGAAAGGTATGGTCTGTGGTTGTATGCTGACATGAAAGTTTGGTCTGTGGTTGTATGCTGACAGGAAAGGTATGGTCTGTGTGTGTATGATGACAGGAAAGGTATGGTCTGTGGTTGTATGATGACGAGAAAGGTATGGTCTGTGTGTGTATGATGACATGAAATGATCGGTCTGTGTGTGTATGATGACATGAAATGTACGGTCTGTGTGTGTATGATGACAGGAAATGTATGGTCTGTGTGTGTATGATGACAGGAAAGGTATAATTTGTGTGTGACATTGAATGTATGGTGTGTGTGTGTATGATGACAGGAAAGGTACGGTCTGTGTGTGTATGATGACAGGAAAGGTATGCTCTGTGTGTGTGTGTGTGATGACATGAAAGGTATGATCTGTGTGTGTTTTTGATGACATGAAAGGTATGGTCTGTGTGTGTATGATGACATGAAAGGTATGCTGTGTGTGTGACAGTGAATGTATGGTCTGTGTGTGTATGACGACAGGAAAGGTACGGTCTGTGTGTGTATGATGACAGAAATTGTATGGTCTGTGTGTGTATGATGACATGAAATGTATGGTCTGTGTGTGTATTTTGACAGGAAAGGTATGGTCTGTGGTTGTATGATGACGAGAAAGGTATGGTCTGTGTGTGTATGATGACAGGAAAGGTATGATCTGTGGTTGTATGCTGACATGAAAGGTACGGTCTGTGGTTGTATGATGTCTGTGTGTGTATGATGACAGGAAAGGTATGGTCTGTGGGTGTGTAGGATGACAGGAAAGGTATAATCTGTGGTTGTATGCTGACATGAAAGGTACGGTCTGTGGTTGTATGATGACAGGAAAGGTATAATCTGTGGTTGTATGCTGACATGAAAGGTACCGTCTGTGGTTGTATGCTGACAGGAAAGGTTTGGTCTGTGGTTGTATGATGACATGAAAGGTATGATCTGTGTGTGTATGTTGACAGGAAAGGTATAATCTGTGGTTGTATGCTGACAGGAAAGGTACGGTCTGTGTGTGTATGATGACAGGAAAGGTATGCTCTGTGTGTGTATAATGACAGGAAAGGTATGGTCTGTGTGTGTATGATGACAGGAAAGGTATGCTCTGTGTGTGACATTGAAAGGTTTGATCTGTGGTTGTATAATGACAGGAAAGGTATGGTCTGTGTGTGTATGATGACAGGAAAGGTATGGTCTGGGTGTGGATGATGACAGGAAAGGTATGGCCTGTGTGTGTATGATGAGGTATGGTCTGTGTGTGCATGATGACAGGAAAGGTATGGTCTGTGTGTGTATGATGACATGAAAGATATGCTCTGTGTGTGTATGATGACAGGAAAGATATGCTCTGTATGTGACATTGAATGTATGGTCTTTGTGTGTATGACGACAGGAAAGGTATGGTCTGTGGTTGTATGATGACATGAAAGGTTTGATCTGTGTGTGTATGATGACATGAAAGGTATGGTCTGTGTGTGTATGATGACAGGAAAGATATGCTCTGTGTGTGACATTGAATGTATGGTCTTTGTGTGTATGATGACATGAAAGGCATGGTCTGTGGTTGTATGATGACATGAAAGGTTTGATCTGTGTGTGTATGATGACATGAAAGGTATGGTCTGAGTGTGTATGATGACAGGAAAGGTATAATCTGTAGTTGTATGCTGACATGAAAGGTACGGTCTGTGGTTGTATGCTGACAGGAAAGGTATAATCTGTAGTTGTATGCTGACATGAAAGGTATGGTCTGTGTGTTTATGCTGACAGGAAAGGTACGGTCTGTGTGTGTATGATGACAGGAAAGGTATAATCTGTGTGTGTATGACGACAGAAAAGGTATGGTCTGTGTGTGTATGATGACATGAAAGGTATGGTCTGTGTGTGTATGATGACATGAAAGGTATAATCTGTGTGTGACATTGAATGTATGGACTTTGAGTGTGACATGCAACGTTCATTTAATCATACGGTTCGGTGTGTACTATGACACTAAACATAATGTCTTTGTGTATGATGTTAGTAATGTACGGTCTTTGTGTATGATGTTAGTAATGTACGGTCTTCGTAATGAACGGTCTTTGTGTACAATGTTAGTAATTTACGGTTTTTGTGTATGATGTTAATAATGTACGGTCTTTGGGTTTGATGTTAGTAATGTACGGTCTTAATAATGAACGGTCTTTGTATATGATGTTAGTAATGTACGGTCTTTGTGTTTGATGTTAGTAATGTACGGTCTTTATGTATGATGTTAGTAATGTACGGTCTTTGTGTATGATGTTAATAATGTACGGTCTTTGTGTTTGATGTTAGTAATGTACGGTCTTTGTGTATGATGTTAGTAATGTACGGTCTTTGGGTTTGATGTTAGTAATGTACGGTCTTTGTGTATGATGTTCGTTATGGGCGGGCTTTGTGTTTGATGTTCGTTATGTACGGTCTTTGTGTATGATGTTAGTAATGTACGCTCTTTGTGTATGATGTTAGTAATGTACGGTCTTTGTGTATGATGTTAGTGATGTACGGTCTTTGTGTTTGATGTTAGTAATGTACGGTCTTTATGTATGATGTTAGTAATGTACGGTCTTTGTGTATGATGTTAATAATTTACGGTCTTTGTGTTTGATGTTAGTAATGTACGGTCTCTGTGTATGATGTTAGTAATGTACGGTCTTTGTGTATGATGTTAATAATGTACGGTCTTTGGGTTTGATGTTAGTAATGTACGGTCTTTGTGTATGATGTTAGTGATGTACGGTCTTTGTGTTTGATGTTAGTAATGTACGGTCTTTATGTATGATGTTAGTAATGTACGGTCTTTGTGTATGATGTTAATAATTTACGGTCTTTGTGTTTGATGTTAGTAATGTACGGACTTTGTGTATGATGTTAGTAATGTACGGTCTTTGTGTATGATGTTCGTTATGTACGGTCTTTGTGAGCGGGGAATCTGTATGATTTACAGACTGTTTCTATTTTAACAAGAGTTTTGATCCATTAAAACAAAAACTGCACTCCAATTTTAATCGGGGTTTCGAAGTTTTTATGCTAGCTCATTTCGGTCCAATATAGCTTTCAGAGAACGTTTTCTTTTCAGAGAGATGAAGCTATTGTAAAGGAAAGCGAACTCTTCATTATCTTAAAGAAATATTTGACCGCCCACGCGAGTAAGCGTTGTCCTGGTAACCCATCACGTGATCTGATGGACACATACATACAACAGACGGAGACCAACATTGAAAGTGATACGGAAAATACAGGTAATGTCTTCCACTTCGTTGATACAGACACTTCACGTCGTGGCTCGAAAGTAGTTATACCTTTAATCTTATACATAGAGAATAATGCATGACTTTTCTTCGCATGCCTTCGGCCCTCGGGCTGATATTAATGAAGTTTCGGGTTGATACTGGGTGTGATATGAAAAAAAAGCATAATTTATTCTGTTTATTAGATACTTACCAATAAAATACGGGTAGATCTATCTTATGATCTATTTTTTCTTTATATGATGAGAAAAAATAGAAGTGTTCCAAAAGGGATGTAATACGGGTTTTGGGGTGTGATACGGCGAGGGCTGATACAGGTTTTGGGGTGTGATACGGCGAGGGCTGATTCAGGTTTTGGGGTGTGATACGGCGAGGGCTGATATGGGTTAGAGCAATTGTATCAGTACTTTTGCATGTGTGATCATTTCCAAATTCCTCTGATACCACTTCCGGTCACTCGCGTGATAAATAGCTATTCTCGTAATGCACCCCCTGGTCGGAACCCCTCTGATAACATACTTCCCAGTGAAAACGGCAATCACGTTCCAAATAGTATACCTAGATAGAAGGATATGTGTGGTTATAATCTGAAGGGGGTCTTGAATACATAAACAAAACAAATAAAAAATCCCGATATGCGCTGCCTTTTCTCTGCAATGTCCAACCGAATCCTGTTTGGCTATCCGTGTCTTAGTGTGTACTCAACCGGATTGTTCTTACCCGGGTTGCGCCCCTTGTCGGTTTGTTTACATGGACATCTGCTCATGAACTGGCCCATCAAAATGTCAACAGATGAAGGCGAACGCCTTCTCAACTTGTTAGGACCACGAATTGCAGGGTTGGATGATTTGTTTGAGAACAGAGATGCTGACAAGGAGAAAAATGTACAATGTAAGGTTAAGACATGAAATTCCACTCTCGGATTCCTAAGACGAAACCTGCGACAGTGCCAAGCGTCACTGAAACTGACTGCATACAAATCGTTGGTGAGATCCGTCCTGGAATACAGCTGCACGATATGGATACAAGATACAAGATACAAGAAACTTAATTTAACGTCGCATATATCAAACATAGAAACATTAGCGCTGTAGCGCTATTTTTTGCGACAAACATGATAAAAAAGCAAAAAGAAAACAACAAATCAAGCTATACACTATCACAGAAAGCTAGCACATAATCAGCGAGTAAAACATACAATAACATAGCAGCATATAAATAGATATCACAGGCACTAAATTTAAAGTACTATACTAAAACATGATGTAAAGTGATAATAGTGAAAAACCTGCATATCACTCAGGTGTTGCTATATAATATATATGCTAATATAGCAAAAGAGTAAAAATTGACATAATAACACTAATATAGTGTAAATCAAAATAGGACGACGAGGTCTTATAAGTAAAAGATATTGAGCTATAATATAGATTAGAAGAGGGCTAGAAACTATGCTGCCAGTTATTGGTATATAAAAGCGCCGTGCAAAGCAAAAGTTAAGCTAAATAGGTAGGTAAATAAATAATAGATAAATAAAGCAGGTAACTAGTAATAAAGACTAAAGCATTGAAAACACATTAAAACTCTACCAGCAAAACAACATCCACTCGCTTGAAAAGGTACAACGCCGCGCTGTCCGATTTATAACATCAAACTACAGAAGGGACAGCAGCGTTACAGAAATGATGGACACTCTAAAACTAGCACCACTAAAGGACCGCAGGAGAGACCATCGGCTTGCCCTTTTTATAAGATCGTGAAGGGGCTAGTGGCCATACCTGTAGATACATATTGACTTCATCAAACACCCGTACCAGATCAAAAAATAGTGAAAATTACCGACATTTCCTGTGTAATACGGACATATTGAAAAAATCATTTTTTCCTTGAACAACAACAAGAGTGAAAAAACCTACCAGAAGACCTCCTCAAAATGCAAGAACTGAAAAGCTTCAAGACAGCACTACAAACTGAAACAATATAAACTTAAAGCGCACTCTTCCAACCCTGGAATGTATAGAGGTCTTCCGTATCAGGAATTCAAAAACACACAAGAAAACTCCCGAGTCCCACATTAGATATTGATCAGATTACTTCTTAAAAACGTTTTACTGTTTTGATTTTTGATTTATTATCAAAAAGACATATGATAAAAAAGTTTATGATAAAGCCTGTAAATAAAAGGTTTTATAACCACACTTAAAAACAATTTTCGGCAAGGTAGTTTCAGATTGACTCATACAGTGCAGACTGAATATAGATCCGTTTTCGATTGGTGAAGAACGCAGTTTATACAAATTGCGAACTTTGTTTTAGATACGGAATATCGACTGTTGTTTATATTTATATATTATGCTTTGATCTGATTCGAAAATGTATACGTGTTATCATCAACAGGTATTTTACATGTGAGCAGCATGTAAACGTTGGCATCAATTGAAGAATCATTACCGCCAATATTAAAAATCTGCTGTTTATCTTTTCAAAATTTAGTTCTTGTAAGCAACTGACATAGACTTCGAGTAACGTTCCGGGTGGTCAGGTATCGCAGTGGATAACCCACTTGTCTTTTGTCAAGGCGTCAGTGGTTCGATTCCCCTATCGGACGTTAATAGGTATGGGGTCACTTGCCCGACCACGTGGCTTTTCTCCTGGTACTCCGGTTTCCTCCCACTTAAAGACCCTCCGCCTGCTAACATCTGGGCCAACAAGAATGATTAATACATTTTGAAAAATTTGTTCTATAACGAGATTTAAGAATATTTTAAAGGATCATCGGATTTGAATTTACGTTACAGGACAGAAATAAGACTTTTAACCCTTTTTTCAACCATCTTTTATTTTGCTAAGTCATGTTTCGGTATTTGTTATTTGTATTGAACAGTCAAGTATACTTGTATGTATCTTAGTCATGCAGCGCAAATAAGACAGTTATATCGAACGAGACCACGATATAAATAAAACATTTCACGTTTTGTACACAGCACAGGGGCGTAGCTAGGATATAAATCTTGTGTAGGCACTTGAACAATTGGCTGATAAATGTGTTTTTTGAGTTTCAAGACAATGGTTTAATAGTTTAGATAAAATCAATTGATAAGTATATCAGTGCGTTTTATGATTAAACATACAAATAATACGAAACAATCAATTTCTTAAAATGGTGGTAATGATTTTAATGTGAGGATTTAGCAGGAGTTTCCCCACTTAAAATATTTTTTAAATATAGCTCATGAAGTTAAATAAACACGAATAAACACGATTCGGAATTTTAAAATCAAACAATGTTTAACTTCTTATTGCTGGGACAGTAGCGTAGCTGCCTTTGACTCGAATAGGCCGTGTCTACACATAATTATGTCAGGTGTTTGTTTTCAGTCGGTTTAAATTAAAACAAGAGGCCCAGAGGGCCTGTATCGCTCACCTGGATATCTAAGCAATCATGGCAAATTATTCTCCAAATGAGACCCAAGGGAATATGCCAGACCACAAGGTCAATCCTTGTGGCATATCTGTATTATATTTTTCATGGCTAGCAATTTTATGTACGGTTGTGTGGTTTGGATCTTAACTGTTGCCAAGCTGTGACTCGAAAACTAGGTCCTTGAGTTGTGGCCAGACCCCAGGAACAATTCTTATATTATGACTGCATTCGTCTCTTTTTACCCAGCATTTGTTTTTATTGTTTTGGTGTGGGGATCTAAACCGTTTCAAAGTTATGACCCATGGGTTAAGTCTACAAGGGTGGGGCAGACCCCAGGGCCAATCCTAATATCATTTGATGTAATGTCCCTCGTTCGATATGCAACTTCGCTAGCTGCAAACCTGTCGTGGTTCCGTTTTCTCATTTTCTTAAGAGTTCCCTCGATTTATTGCCGAACCCCCTTCATAACGCCAACATTGAAATATCGTGGTGTTTAACGTAGTTTTTTTAACATATTTTCAGAGAACAACTTCCTGCGCTCGATCCTTGACATGTACATATACGGATCGGAGATGACTTCTTCACTACTTCTGTGGACAGTTGTGTTCCTGGTCAGATACCCGGATGTACAACGAAAATGTCAGGACGAAATGGATTTGGTTAGTGCGATTGGTTTATAATTTATTTTCTTTCAAACTTTGTCTTTTTTTTTTTTAACTTTTACATTGGCACTTATTTTGAATTATTTGTGCTGCCACAGTTTATCTGAAAGAGTAAATCGAATACTACATGCCATAACCAAATTTCTTGTTTTAAAGTAGGGCTCCGTGTAAGAATCATGCAATGAATGATACATGGGGGTCAACAGATCATGACCAAATTTGGTAGGTTAACTTGACTTCAATCAAGATTGATGAAAACACATTTATTTCTGTTGCCAGGACTCATTGGTTGCCATGGCAACTAAATGTTAGATTGTGGGTTCTGGTTTAGATAAATAGGCATAAATAACTGCATCTTAAATATTCTTTTAGAAACAATAAATCAAAAGCAGACAAATTGTAATGATATATTTATTCATTTACAGATATAATCTACCACAATAAAAGAAAATAAAGAGAAATTTCAAATCCTTAATCAATAAGATCTCCGTATCAAAAAAGAGTACAACACCATTTTCTTAATATTGGAGTTTTCTTCATTTTTACCAATTTTTATGATATTTTTTTCACAAAACCCCACAAGTTAAACGATAATATGTATATACACATTAAAGAATTCTTACTAAAGTTCTTTCAGAAATTAAAAAAAAAATGGCTAAACAAGGGAGATATTCCGTTTTTTCAGTTTTCCCCTATTTTGAACAATATTAAGGATAAACATTCTTAAAAAAAAAAAAAAAAAAAAAAAAAATACATATGAAAGAGTTCTTACTGGAAATCTTTCAGAAAGATTTTTACAAGATTGAAGTTAATGTATGAAAATAAAAGGGAGGTAATCCGTTTTTCATTTTTTTTCCCCTATTTTGACCAATATTTATATATTTTAACAATTACAGGGACACAAAATTAAATTGGTCTTACTTCACCCGCTTAAAAGCAGCAATCAAACGTTTAAACTTGATTTATTCAGAATAAACATTGTAACAAATAAACAAATGGACAATATATTGAAGAAAGACTTTAAAATAATGAATTAAACAGCTGAAAAATATTTGGGTAATTTAAATCTTTATCAGGCAAACAATAAGGCTAATTACCAAATGTGATTTAGATAAACTTGTGATGTCTGAAATGAATTGTCTGTTAAAAAAAAAAGCTTTACATCTATCATTGTTAATTTTGACAATTCTAGCATTTAATTTCTTTTTAATATCAGAATTGTTAATGTTGTGAAAATCAATAAATATATAAATTGCTAAGAAAGCAATACAAAGCATTTGATTTTTCTACTATATGCCTCCTCTCAAACATTGAATAAATCAACATGTTAAATGACCTCAATAGTTCTTACTTATTTTTTTAAATAATATGAGATCAATTGTGATCAGATTTGATTTCAAACATTTCACTTTTCAATGAGGGTAGAGTCACATAGACTGTATATATTTACCCATAATATTTTTGAGGAAACTGTTTGTACATTTTAGCACCCTAAATCACAAGCTATACAGTGACTATAAGCAAGTTATTCAACAATCATTTGTTGAATTTGCAGAGATAATTGATTCAAATAATTCAGATTGATTGATTGCAACAGCAGCAGCTACCAAGTCATAATCTTCAGGTACTTTTTTGTTGTTGTTACTTGAATTAGCAGATACCAATCGAGAGAAAAAAGATGTAATCTGAGTACTATTCAAGCATTCATTCAACTGAAAAACTCGTCTGCCCTCAGTATCCCTCATTGATTTCATTTCTGATGCAACATCATCTGGACTACATTTGATCTTGCTTTTCTCTCCTTCATTAATTTTTTGGGGGCAGCCAAGTTGTTACTATAGCAATAACAATAACAGTGGAGCGCCCCCTATGACAAAGGGAGATAATTTTGATAGTTTATGAGGCGAAATTGGAAAAAAAACCACCAATTTATTCAGAAATAAATGATTTGCACAGAATTTTGTCATATTTTATAAATGCAGTTTTACCATTAGGTTTTTCATAAAAATAAAATGTTTCATGTTATAAAAGGGGTTTTATGTTTATTGGGTGATGAATTATGGCAAATTTCTATAGGATATCCCTATGATTAATACATAAATCCAGCATACAATACAAAGCCCAACATTTTTTTTAATACATTATTATCGAAGACAAAAAACCAAGGGTAATAGTTACTAGCTATCCATATTTCAATTTAAGCCTGAAACCATTAACATTTGTTCTGACCCATGTATCACCATTTCATTGATGGCTGCATGATCCTTACACGGAGCCCTACTTAAGCACACTTTGTGTGATATAAAACAATGTGTAGGACAATGAACCCAAATTCTGTGACGTTATACACACATCTTCTGCAATCTGAAACACCTTTCATGTAATATTCAAATATCATATATAGTAACAAACTGGCCTTTATATTCGACAGTCTCGTTTGAACAGACTTGTCAATTTTCAATTGTACAACCATTCGATGAAACATTTTAAACGAATTTTACAGAAAAGAAAAATTGACAAAAGTAAAGGGGAATATTTCAAAATTAAAAATAAAAGCGTTTTGTTTGTCAGGTTGTAGGAGACCGGGACCTGACGTCATCAGACAGGGCCAATGGTAGTCTGCCGTACTGTGTGGCCGTATTAAAGGAAATCCTGAGAATATCTAGTCCGGGTAGGTGTGATGAATTTACTGGGCACATTGATGGACTTTTGTTGAGGTCAATATGCGATTATATAGACCTTTAAACTATATATTAACCGAGACGAACATGAAATATTTGTGAACTTTTAGAATTTGCAATGTCGTTGTTTTTTTCCACAGCTGTCATGACAACACTGCACACCAATCACAAGAGTGCTATTGTCGGCGGTCACTTGATCCCTGAACGCTCATTGGTCGTCTGCGATCTGCATAACCCTCGATTCGACGAAAACCTGTGGGAAAACCCCTCTGAATTTAAACCAGAGAGATTCCTTTCCAAGCTGAGTGCGGAACAAGAACGAGTTGCTTCCCTTTCATTTGGTCTTGGTACGTATGTATGTTTACGTTCCGTTGGGCCGTGCTTGGCTGATTCCATAATGAACTATTACAATATTTGAATTGGAAGAGTTCAAATGTTTTTATATGGGTGAATGAGTTCAAATATTGATAGGTTCCGCCGGGGAACACATCTTACCTTATGTCAGCAGTACCGTATTCGTCAATTTCGCTTATGTATGGTTGCTTGATAGGACAATATATCAATCTGGTAATCTGTCACCTTAGAGCGTTTTTCCCCCGGTTGTACCAGGTGTTGTCATAGCGTATTCTAAAATAAGTCCTTTTCAAAAGAAGTTTTCATAAAAATCTTAAAAAAAAAAAATGTTTGAAAAGGTTGCCATCCACGATTAAAAATGCACACCATCAAAATGAAAGCCTAGTTACTGGCCGCAAATTATATGGACAGAGATTATAATTGAACGGGGAAGTTACTCTCAACAAAAATATATAGCTTGTTTAGCTTGCTTTATCTTCTATATAGAAGGGAGAATACTCCAGGTAAAAACAAAACAGTGCGAAAATCGTCTTCGTTATATTGACTGACGGTATGGTATCCTTTAAATGAATAGGTTCACAGATCACATTTTCTGACTTTGGTTGATTCTATTTCATTTAATTTTGACCAATCAGAAGTTATATACAGTTTACTTAGATCTGTCCTCAAACTCATAACCCCGAGAGGCTGTATTAAAATATACCGTGCTTTTTGTTTTAGGTCCGAGATGTTGTCCAGCCAGGAAATTATCGGAAACTGCGCATTTCCTGTACTGCATGAACCTCATACGTCACTTCCGCATTCATCATTATGATGAAAGTGTGCCTATACCTTTGACCGCAGATTACAAAGGCGTTTCTCTTAAGCCCCGCCCTTTTAAGGTAGTATTTAAACCGAGGGAAGTACAGGTACAAGTGAGCCAAGGTTGAACCAAGCTGGCCAGATTCGGGACATATATATGCATCTAAGACACCTGTTTGATGTTACTATTGACAACCGGTTAGTGCAATAACTGAATGGATTGGATCGTTAAGGCAGCTCAAGATGGGAATTCAGAGGAGACTGCACCTGCAGCAGATCTGTGTCCAATTGAAAGTATGATGTGGATGAACCGGCCTATGATGTCTGTTATGAACTGTTTTTTGTAACATTCAGTGTTTAAACGAGATTTCTTGGTGTCAAGGAACATGTCTTACTAACTTAATTTATTCACCCCTGAAGATACATTTGAACTCTACCAATTCAAAAGTTGGAATAGTTCATTATGAAATTTTAGGGGTAAAAGAGTTAAAATAAATGATGACATGACATATATAATTTTGGCCAACCAAGCGTTCTGTCCAAAATAAATTATAAATGATAATTGGTCATGTTTTATCCGTTCGAACATTGTTGTGGTGCCGATAATGCCATGCATTTTCAACCAACTGTTCAATCTTTAAGATAAAACGCAAAATATGAAATTGAATATTGATCTACATGAATATCCATATATCCCTTTATATCTGTGATACAATTTCTTCCACAACCACTGTAGGTTTCCTCACTCCCGACTCATTGGATAAACCTGCTACGAGTTGGTAAACATTTGTGGTTTTACCCACTAGTGGGTAACACCCTGGACGTGATTCCATTGGTCAATCTCCTTATTACGACGTCAAATAGCAATGCCCTGTGACGTCTCTTCCATTATGACGTCATAGTTCATGGCGATTGTTTCCTCGATCGAAAACATGAATAATGTATTCCAAAGAGAAACATCGGGGTTTCTAGATATAAAATCTGAACATTGTGGGGGGAAAAAAGGTCCCGAACTCGTGATGGTTGCTTATTATGTTTATCCAAATCTTGATAGTTAATTTCAAAATTGTAAAAGACACACGGCCAACCAGTGTCGTTATACAATTTGAACATTAACAATCTCGAAGTAGATACACATTTTAACCAACCATCATTCGTTGGGGAACCTTTATTTATGTTCTTTATCGTTTGAATACAAACAGTTAATATGCATCTATTTTGTGAAACCGCAATTGGCTTGAACCTAATCTTGAAGAAAATGGTTTGAACTTTGTACAAATACCAATAATGTATGTCAAATTATTTTGTTTCTATGTCAAGAAAGAGTATTTATTAATTTGACACGAAAACAGCATTATGCATATATGTTACTTTATTGAGTTTCTTGAATTGTATTCATAAATGATATAAATACCAATGAACAACACAAATTTATGTTGTTGTTTTTTTTTAAATTTTAAATCATGAAAATATGTTCGACCTCATATATATTAAGTTCAATATGAACATAATGAAATAGAGGAAAACGCGTTATCATCTATATATATGCAAGACCCCACACTTGTGTTTTTCTAACGAATCAGAAAGCACGAGTTTATTGCGCGAACGAATATATTCCAAGTGCGCTCCTATAAATGAGTGTTTTCTGATTCGTTAGAAAAACACAATTGTGTGGTCTTGCTTTTATCACATACCTTCCGTATTTGGTAAAGATCGATACAAATATTTTATAAACTTTGATATTTTTTGCAAATACCGGGAACTTTTCAGTTCGCCATGACAAGGGAATTCCCATAAAAAGTAGTTCCGGCTAGTAGGTAAATACAACATTCCGTATTGCACATGTGCAATACAGAACGTTGTAATTTATGGTTTGAAAATTGCTTGTATTACTATAACAAGATTCAACAGGTATGTGATAAATTACTTTATACCACCTACCGGTAGCATGATAAATTCATTTTCATGGGTTGTCAGTATGAGAAGAAGTTGAGAACGACTTGAGAACAACTTGAGAACCGATGTTCCCATTCTCCAGCACTTGGTAACGTATTTCCTCAAAAAGGAACGTCAGCTCGCGCCAGCTGACGTCCGAAACAGGAAATAGTATCCCAACAAAAGTGATCCGCGTAAGAAAATAGTCCGTCATAAACATATCAATACAAAGTTACGGGAAAATATTGTGAGAATAACAACACCGTTTCAGGTGTAAATGTGCATATTGAAAAGCCAATGACAATAGGATTGTTTTAAAAATATGTATGCTACAAAGTTTTAAGGTTCATTGTATTCCTCCGCGCAAAACTTGTATTTGTATACGTTTGTCACCGGCGATCGTTGACGATTGAGCTTAGAAGCCAATGGGGAAATTTGGTGTCTAGTTTTTTAAATGGAGAAGTATATAAGGTAGTGGTATATAAATGTTGAATAGTTTATCATACAGTATTTTCAGGGTTTGTCGTTCGAATAATTTTCTCATCGCTCGCACGTCGATAAAATCTCTCGAGACCACCGAAAATACAGTGTGATAATCTATAAATATATCACAGCGTCAGCAATAGTAGCAGTAGACAAAACAAGAAGTCAGAATCGTGGAGAATAAAGGCAGCGGCAAACGGAACAGTTATATGCTTAAATTTACGCCCATCGAACCCATCCTCAAACAAAGAGTTTCGCTCTCTGCCTCATATCTTCTCTGGATCTTCACCACTTTGTTATGAATTGAAAAGGAATCGAGCGGTAGCATGACGGTAAAATCCACAGGTTTTGAACATTGGTATTGGTCCTCTGTAATCGTCAAAGGACAAGTGTCAACCAGGCGATTGTTTTTTTTTTTTATATTTTAAACAAGTCGGTGTAACAGTAAAATCGACATGCATTAAAGCATCCTCTATATCCAGGGGTCACGCTCACTTTAGCTCTCTATACCCCTGGAATATGTCAAAGTAATAGCGAAGACTCTGTGTGCACCATCGTTGGGGATTACACGAGTAGACTAGTTTGACCCTTTGATTTACATTAAAATAATCTGGCGGACGCGTAACGGTAAAAATCTTACTGGCTTTGAAGTCGGGCGTCGCTCCTTTGTAATCTTCAAAGGACATGTATCAGCCTAGTGATTGGTCAGGTGTTTTTTTTATCTTGCACCAATCAAATAGCTAGCAGCGTGCCTTCAATTTTGCTATGACGTATTCCAAGTGTGTAGCGAGCCATCCTCGATATCCAGGGGTTACGCTCACTTTCGCTCTCTACACCCCTGGAATATGTCATAACAAAATCGAAGGCTCGGTGTGCGCCACCTTGTTGATGAGACAAGGAGACTAGTTCGATCCTTTGAAGTACATCAAAAGAATCTGGCGGTCGCGTAACGGTAAAAACTTACTGGGCGTCGCTCCTTTGTAATCTTCAAAGGACATGTATCAGTCTAGTGATTGGTCAGTGTTTTTTTTATTTTACACCAATCAAATAGCTAGCAGCGTGCCTTCAATTTTGCCATCACATGTGAGCGTAACCCTGGATATCGAGGATATTGAAGTTGAGTGTAGCTCCTCAGTTATCTTCAAAAGGCAGATATAAACCCTTCTTCGTTACTCCTCGACGACCAATCGTTAAGGCTGATTCCTGTCCTTTGAAGGTCACAGCGGAGCGTCACTCATACTGTAGTCAAACCCAGTCAAGTTTACCGTTACGCGACCTATCAAGGATCAAACTAGTCTTCTCGTCTCATTCACAAGGTGGTGCACAATGAGCCTTCGATTTTGCTATGTAATATTATTCCAGTGGTGCAGAGAGCAAAAGTGAGCGTAACCCCATGGAGTATAAAAGATGCTGACGGCCTTGATAGTGTTCACAAATCACTTTAATCGGTTCAACACACAATCTGATGTAAAAAGGACAATATTGGAGGGAGTGGTGCTTACTGTTCTACATTTACATAGAGTTGTCGTTCCTTACACACTTTTTCACTTTCTAAAAAGACAACCTTTTTGGCAAAACTAAAACTCATTTTCAGCGCTTTTTTCAGAAATACTCAGAATATGGCTAGTATACGATATATAGACTTTTTTTTAACCTTGACCACAGTGTATTTCAAATTAAGTTGATGTGGATATAGAGGCCACTTATATAAATACCTTCGATAGTTTATTGAATATTTTCCCCTGCTTCACGAGATTTAAAATATTCCTATTTTGTAAATTATTTTCGCAACATTTTTATTTTCGCCTTTTCGCTCTCCGTAACATGGACGAATATTAGTACACACTATACCATTAGTAGTTATTACATGGGCAGGGTTAAATCAGCATTTGGCGAATATAGTAATCCCCGCCTATTTCGCCCTCCGTAATAAGGGCCAAAATATATATGGGCGGATTGGTCGAGTGGTTAACACTCCGACCTTCCACGCAGGCGGCATGGGTTCGATCCCCGAAGTCGTCGTACCCATGGATATTCAGAGAAAGTGTTTTTCTCCTGCGCACACAACTCTAACAACCCAGGCGGAGTATACATTAGTCTGGGATGGATGTTGCGGTATCTGTGCTGTAGCATTCAAGTGAGGTGACAAATGATGCCGTTTGAAGCACAGTTCCACTTCAAACAGAACACATTACATCTCTAGCACACACGCAGGCATACACACATAGTGAGATATTAACCAGGTGGCAAAGAACTAGTAGTTAGCGACTGATAAGGCAGCTTCTGCAAATGCCTCAAAATTGTATTGATTAACGTATATGCTAATTGTATTATTTGAATATCTTTGTACTGTAAAGCATTTTAGAGTGGCTTATGTTAACTAGATAGGGCGCTATATCAAATGTTGCATATTATTATTATTATTATTATTATTATTACAAGCTAACCGGTAATAAGATTTATATATATATTTTAAATGCCGCCGTGACTATTTTCCATAATTATGTTTATTGAAGATTTAAAAGAAACCGTGGTTAGGTATACATGTAGCAAACACTAGTGAAAGCAAGTTTTTTTTTATATAAAAGCAATGGATAAAGTCTTGAGTGTAATCAGCCCAACAGAACTCAAAATATAAGTAGTGCATTTTATAAACTGATTCTCTATTCATATAGTAACAGTGATAGAGACCTAACACCCGGGCCTGGAAAGTTGTCCCAAGCAGGCACTTTCTTTGAAGAAGCACTGTATAAAGTCAAGAGTGTAATCAGCCCAAGAGAAATCAAGATATTGTGCATTAGTGCATTAAACAGATTTTCTATTTAGAGTGACCCATTGACCTTTGACCACTGGACCTGAAAAGTTATCCCAAGCAGGCACGTTCTTCCAGGAAGGACAAGATAAAATCTGAGTGTAATCAGTCCAACAGAATTTGAAATACAGTGCACAAACTGATGTTCTATTTATAGTAAGTGACCTTGACCTCTGATATCAAAGGCTGAAAAGCTATCCAAAAGGTTAAGCAAACATTTTATTACACTGCAT